TGAAAGCCGTATCACAACAGGTGGCATGATGCACTATCTGTCGGTGAAGAATGCACCATAATGAAATTATGTTGCACTTCTTACTAATAAAGTACTCCAGTGAACATGAACACTGTGTTGAGAAAATCCAGAGAGGAAAAGTTTAACCACTCGTCTCAATTACGAACAAATTCTAAAAACATCTACATCAACCCATAATTGTGCCCCTCCAATAATTTATATATGAACCCTAAAATGGATGAAAATACCTACATATCATGTTCAGATTCAAACGCCATAGCTTGAAAAGGAACCGGAGAGTAGAAGCTATGGAATCGGACATCGCTGGAGATGATGAATTTATTTTCTAATCGAGAAGCGAAAACAAAATGATGAAGATTGGAGATGGTGCGTCGATTCCCTGGAACGTTGAGATGTGAGACAGATGCGACTATTCCGCCATAGCAGCGAGTAATTATTCATTCATTGAGACTATAATACCCTTCGTACAGCTGTCTTCCCTTTTTTAATGCACCGCATCCTTCCTTTCCTTTTAAAAAAAATTGGCTATTTAAAATGCTTGGACCCCCCACAGCCGTGTGATCAACAAGATTCAAGGCCTGAAAATAATTCTTTTTTCTCTCACCAAAGAGCCTTCTCACCTGATCTCACCCCTATATATATATATATATATATATATACACACACACACACACACATATACATATACATATATATATATATATATATATATGTATGTATGTATCTATGTATGTATATATATGTATATGTATCTATGTATGTATATATATGTATATGTATATGTATATGTATGTGTGTGTGTGTGTGTGTATATATATATATATATATATATATATGTCAAGCGTCGAGTCTTTAGAGGTTAGAATCTCTTTTTTTTATAAGAAAAGAATTTGAAGATGAATTTCTAAATCATAATTGTATACTCCAAGATTTTAAAAGTTTGTTTTATAATTTCCCAATTGATCGATTATCCAATTGTTCGTATTATAAATAAAAAAAAATCAATGTGTTTGATGAATGCGTTTACAAACAAGGAAAATATTGTGAATAATATTCGGAGATTTGTTTTCCTAAAAAAGTATAGAAATATAAACTTCGTTTCTTTTAAACAGCTCAATTAAAAAGTAAAATATAGTACATGAAGTATTTTGTTACCAAATATGAGCCTTGAATACATACAATCAAGGAATCGATCTCTAAAACAAAAGAGGAAAGAACTGTACGTGTTTATTTAAAGAGGATACCCATATAATATGTGTTTTCATTGAATAATATATATAATCCTTCGTCCATATATAATATATATAGAGAAGAGAAGAATATAAATCAAGCCAATTGATTTTAAGGAGTAGGGGACGAAACAAATTAAGCATATGGCGGACGACATCGTAGTCCATCTGGTGGTATTTGTGGTTCTGATATTGTTCATCGCCATGCTCAAGTCGTTTATTTTCCAAGTGTCCGATTTCCGGCTGGTGGTGGCCTTCATCTCCATCCTCGCTCTCATCCCCGTCTTTATGTTCACTGCCATGAAGAAGCCTCAGCAGTAATTTAATTTAGCCATTTGAAAATAGTGTTTTCAATTAGCGTTAGCTATCTATTTATATTCATCTAGCAGTATACCGATAAGATGAAGATTAATTAGTTAGTAGATTCAATTCACATCCATTACCTGTTTCCCTAGTTAGCTACTCCTTGAATTTTACCTAGTGGGATGTTTTAATTTAAATTATTGTACCCCATCTGTCCCATTGTTTTTGTAGTGTATTCTTTTAACGTTTTTTTCTTCCTTCATGCTCTCTTTGTCCTTTAAACTGTTTTTCTTTTTTTTTTCTTGTCCCAAACTTTTTATCTTATCTATTACTGTAAAAAAAAACTATTTTTGCCCTTACTAAAATAATTCTTATCTTACCTATTACATCATATTTTTTTTATTAATAATCTATCTATCATATCTTACTTTAACTCATCACATCAAAGATATTTTTGAAAAATCGAATAAAAAATATTCATATCTTAAATTTTCAAAAAGTTAATAAGGAAAGAACTTTAAAGGACAGAGGGAGTATCATATTTTGTTTTATTCGTGTGATAGTTCACAACTATTTTTAGGTTATCTTACTTTTTTAACATCAATATGATTTACAATCAATATTAATTACTCCCAGTGTCCTAAAACCTACTTCTCATTGTGTTTTAAGATGTTTGATTAAAATTATTTTCATCTTACTTTATTAAAAAAATTGGTGTGAAATTTAAAAATGAAATTTATATATGGAGTATTTAAAATCATATCTAAAGTCTACGAAACTATAAGTGACAAGATTACATTCTTTATCAAACAAATAACGAAAAGAAACTAACAAAGCGGATATGTGAATAGCAAACGAAAAGTTAATTTTAAGGGAGAGGAAATATACTTTAATTCTATATTCCCCTCCCTCTCTAAAAGAATATCAAGGGTTGTCATTCACGGACTTTAAGAGTTTTTATCTTCATCTTCATCCTCCCACATTTCTCTATTTTTAGCTACTACGGAGTAATATTTTCACTCGTAAGATACACGAAGTGAAACGAAATCTGTTTCCATTATGCAATTATTTCTTCGCTGCAATAGTACTAAAAAAATTGAATAAAATATGGAGTAATAATCTAACTCTCTCCTTACCAGTAAAAGAATTCAACATACTAATTTTGTCAGTCTCAAAAAAGGTTTTATTTCCTACTTTCGGAAAAGTTTTTATTGTGACTCGTATAGTTTTTTATCTCCACTGCATTAGTTCTAATCATACAATTTCACATTTTTCTTAATCACTATATCAAGTCAAATGTGAAACACAATATATGATTAGACTTGTTTGTTAGATTTGTTCTTTGGAAAAATTATCACCAATAATCTCACCTTTGCTCGCTCTTTCAAAAATAATCTCACCTTTCCGAGTGGTCAGTAATAAGCCAAGGTTGTACTGTCTCTGTCAGAACTGGGCATCCGTTTAAAGCTTAACGTACGACTAACGGGAATCTGATTTGGCAATTACAGGTAGATTAATACATTAGACGACATATTAATAGATTATCTGATTTGGCTTAACGTAGTATATTTCTATCCCTAAGTATCGACATCCTTATTACGCGAACCTTCTCAGCGGCTAACCCTAATTGGGATCCAGAGCTCTCCATCCGCCATAGCCAAAGAGGAAGAAAAAAAAAGAAAAAAATCAGGTATGCACTAGTATTTCGTTGTTTTTCCATTGGATAGAAGCCTTACCAGAGATAAAAGTATATTTTGGAAAAGTAGAAAATGAAAGGGCCAAACTGATTTTCATTGGACTGATGCTCATTGCTCAGTGAGAGTAAAAATCAAAGAAGGGTTCTAAATTTTGTGTGGGACGAAGAATAAGACTCACATATTAGGGTATTACTAACATTTTTAGAATCACACTCTAAAAGTACATTTAGACCTAGGGTTCCATAATAATATCTCTAATTGTATGTAAATGATCTATTCTGTGATGATTATGCAGGGCAAAGAACATAATTTTTTCAAGGAAATATGAAATCAATCGAGAATTCACTTGCAACGAAGGGGAAGCTTTGCTGCCAAGTATGCAAATCTTACACAGATTTTGAATACAAGGTGTCTAAGTCAAGAAAGAACTTCATGAAGCCCTACTATGCGTGTTTGAGATGTGGAGGATATTTATGTTGGGTAGAACAGGTTGAGAAACAGGTTGGCGAAGATAGCGGAGATACAACAAATTTGGCACCTGGTCAAGGTGTGAGTAGAGGTTCACACATGACATCCTCGTATGAAGAGGGGAGTGAAGCTGGGAATGCCAACAACAATCTAAAATTAGATATGGTGATGAAGTGGCAGGTTTGAGGAAAGATCAATCTGAGTTGAAAGTTTTGTTGAACAGAAATGAAGAAAGGTTGAAGATGGGTCTACTCATGTTATTGTCAAACCTGTTTGTGTGTATTCTAGTTTTGGCACTAATTAAACTGAACTGAAGTTTTATCTTAGAAATAAACTATTGATGTAATTGGTATTAGCAGTATGTTCATTTTATCTTTCTTTTGGTAGTGTCCTTATTTTAGGAAATTATGTAACTGGTTTCATGGGTTGAACTATGTATTTGCTTCCTTTGTTAATAACTATGGCAGTGTGTTTTACCATCCAATTGAGCACTTTGTTTAAAAAAGTTGAGTTCAAAATGGGTATCTACTAATTTCATGTTCTTGTACCACAACACATTTACAGTCTCATATATGTACACCTCCATATAGTAACAATAGTATGAATTAATAAACACCTAACAAAGTGTAAAAATATACAAAGCAAAAGGTTACCATCAAAGCTCAAGGAAGGCCAACAGCTAGTTATTCTTCAAACACAAATGAATGAACCCATTCAGTAACAGATGGGAAGACTGACCCGAAAAAAAATTAAACCGACCCGAAAAAAAATTAAATAACTGAAACCGATCTGAAAAAAATTAAATCTCACTCGACTTTTGTCAAATGAAAGCTGTTAGGACACCAAGTTGTTAGAAAAAGCAAATCAGTATTTGTTAGGACACCAAATCAGCTGCAAGAAACCCAAAAACTTTCTAATCATCCCATGATTGTGACGTGACTAATACACACACACAACTTGAACCTAATGTATTACATGCACCAATGTTTCACCAAAAGTAAGCTGAGAGAATTTAGCAGCAAATATTCCTACTGGTTTACCATCCAATTCATCTACAGGTAATAAAATGAGAACAGAAAGAAATTACACTTGTACAGACCTCATTGCACTTGCTACTGGTGCTTAATAAGTTATCATATACAGGCTTTGAATTGCTTATCCAATCCAGTTTTACCATTTAAAAACTTAGAAAACCAATGAGCAATTTAAAAACAACTAAAAAAAAGTCAAATACACAAGCACACAAGCACTAAAACAGAAACAATGTCATGTTCAGATGCTGAACAAGATACAAAAAGTACAGATGTTCAACGTACCCAAATAATAAGCAAAATAAAAATAGACAGAATGCGAACTTCCATTAAAAGATAACATTTTAACAAAATTGCCAATCAACAGATTTGAAGCTAGTCTTTGATACTACATCATCTTCATTTTTTGCTCAATGCAAGGGTGGTTCTTGAGAGTTTTGTGCAGAAGAAGGCATGATGTTTGAGATTGAGACAGGTTCACTTTGTCCAGGTGAATTAATGTACATGCCTCTATCAGTTGTATTGTAAAAGACTCCATATCCAGCAGGCATCTGTATATATCACAAACATAGTAAAAAAAGTGAGTATTGCATACTTCATATTGTGATAAGTCAGTTAATACACATTAGGATCAGGATCATGTTAAGATCGATGAAACTTACAGACGTATTTTTCTTCTTGTTGCCTCTTCCACCTCCTTGCCTTCCCCTAGACCCTCTTCCCCTACCCCTTAGTGATGGTTCAGCGGTTCTATGGTGTACGTCTACTTGTAAACTGTCCATGACATTACAAGATTCTAACACACTTTTCTTGGGCCTTCCTCTTGATCTTTTGATGGGATTACTTGTTGGAATTGAATTGGGGTTGTTTTTTTGTGGACAAGTTCTCTTATTGTGCCCTTTGTTGTTGCAAATTTTGCATGTCATCTCCATCCCATGCCTTGTCAACTTACCTGGCTTTTTTGGATCTTCATGTGGGTCTTTAGCTCTATTCTTGCGAGGCCTGCCTGGTCCTATTTTTATTGGTGGAGGATCCAATTCTACCCTGACAGTCCTAGGCCAGTGTTTTTCACCAACACACGGAGGTATATTGTGCTCATACGACTTGATATATGTGCTCTTCTTGTAGCAATCATCAACATACTCTTCAGGTATTTTATTTAAGAAATAAATGCAAGCACAAGTATGATGACAAGGAATTCCAGTGAGGTCCCACTTTCTACATGTACATGTCCTACTCTCTACATTTACAGAAACATCATCTAGTTTATCCCTAACTTGAAACAACGTAAGAGAAGATGGCATGACATGGCAGTGGTGAACAAACTCTTTCTCCTTTTCAAGTTTTTTTTGGATTCTAGGGCAAATAGTGTAATGACTCCCAGCAGCATGTGCTCTTTTATTAGCCAGTCTTTGCATCAAAGCAATCCTAATGTCTTCTAACATATCAATCACATGTTTAGCCCTTGCATTTATGATGTATCCATTAAAAGTTTCAGCCATATTATTAACAATGACATCACATTTAGTGATTGTCTTGGCAAAGCACCTACAAAATGTTTTTGGATTTGCTTTGAGGAAAGCACTGGCAGCAGGTTCTGAGATTACCTTCATCTCATTCAATGCAGCTTTATAATCAGCCTCTGAATATGCCCTTGCAGCCTTCCAGAATACAACCTTCAAGTCATCACCCTTAAATGATTTGTGCCAGTTAGCATAGATGTGTCTAGCACAATTTCTATGCTCTGCTTTAGGAAAAATCTCAGCAACAGCCTTTAGCAAACCCTAAAATGTAAAAGAAAGTATATATTATTAAACTTGTTGGGAACATAAAGTCAAACATTAACACATAACTTAATTACAGGATACCTTTTGTTGGTCAGACATAAATGTCCACTCTTCACCACATTGACCATCCAAACACTGTTTAAACTCTTTCATGAACCAGCTCCAAGACTCATTGTTTTCTCCCTCAACCACAGCCCAAGCTATAGGGAACATCTGGTCATTGGCATCTCTACCGACTGCTGTTAAAAGCATTCCACCTAAGAAAGTCTTTAAGAAACAACCATCAAAGCATATCACTTTTCTACAACCAGCTAAGAACCCTTTCTTCAATGCCTCAAAACAGACAAATAGTCTTCTAAATTCAGGAGCTCCAACTCGAACTCTTTGTATGCCTTGTCCTTTCATAATGTTTCTGACTACAAGTTTAAGGACTGTATTAGGGCTAGATGAATGTAATGCTGCCATATAAACAGGTAATTTCTGATAATGTTCCTTCATTGACCCATGAAGCATTTTATGTGCCCACCACTTAGCTTTATATGCAACACACTTTGTGATGAAGTACTTGAACTTCTCCTTTACAGCTTCTTGAATGTCTTTCGCTGGCCAATGTGGTTTGGCCTTAAACACATCCAAAAACTCTTTACCTATCCAACGAGAAGCAAGTTGACTATTGTTCTTCATGTCTCTATGACAAGTATGTGTGCCTGTCACTTTTTTCACGATATACGAGCCTTTTCTAGAATGCCATGATCCCATTATTTCAAATGGACAATTTTCAACACACCTTGCACCCAATCTGTCATTCCTGTTTGTGTTGCTAACATTAAACTTGAGATTTCTCCCTTGAAATATACTATACCTCTTTATTGCTTCTCGGAATAAATCTTTGTTAGGGAATCTCATTCCTGGCTGCCAAACTAATTTGGAAAAGTCAGTGCGTGAATCAACAATTGGTATAGATTTTTTTCTTTCCTTTCCACGAATGTCATCTTCATCACTTTCTCCTGGAGTGTCAACGTACTCGTCTGATTCTTCATACTCAGATATGTGATCCCCATCTTCGATAAATTTTTCTATTGTGGTAGGATTGGGGGTGTTTATTATTTGATTCACAATTCCATCAAGTTTAGCATTTTCTTTGTCATGCCAGTTGTTGAAGTTTCTTCTAGCATCCCGACATTCTTCATCATCGGTGTCACTGTCACAACCCAATAGCACCTCCACATCAGGAATATCCTCTCCTACATCTTTGTTGTTACTCTTTGTAGAAGTCTCAAGAATCTGCTCTTCAAAAGATGTCTCAACCCTATTCCTTTTTTCAAAATTAAAAACCTCTTCAAGTCTCTCCCCTTCTTCCCCATCTTCGGTTAAATCATCATTAGAAATGTCAACATCTGTAGACTGCAACACCTCCTCTTCCTCAATAAAAATGGATGGGGTGAATGTAGAAATAGTTTGAATGTTCCTGGGGCTTGTTCTTTCAAAATTTTCAGTGACAAGATTAACTTCTCTACTCTTTTGTTTTGAAGCAAAGGTTGAAACAGGTTGATTCTGGTACACCACATACAAACACATACTCTTACCACTTTCTTCTCCAACATTCACCATTTCAATTGTCTCTTTATCACCATAAATTTTTCTCAACCCTTTACCTAACTCACAGCCAGGTTTCGCATAATATATCTCAGACACAGGAGGATAATCTCCACACTCTTTTGCCCAATCAAGAAGATCAAAATACCCAATTTTATCGGAATCTAAATTGTCAAATACACGTATATTACCCTCAACATACTCTGTAACGCTCCCAAATTTCAAAACTCCACCATAATTGTATATGAGCTTCATCTGTGAATACATATGCAGTGTCGTGTAAAATCAATTCAGTTGTATTATGCTTCAATTGAACAAAAAATGAAAGAATAGTGTTTACCTGAATTCAAATTATTATTTCTTTCTCTTAGGCGCTGCGACGGATTGAGGTAGAACTCTTAATCCAATTAGGGTTAGCACGGAATCAAAATTTTGATGGGGGTTTTGAGATGTTTTTCTGTGGGGAAGGAGGTCAGGGGCTTTTGGAGTTCTTTTCGATAGGGCAGAGGTGTTTCGATGGAGAAGGAGGAAGGGCTACGAAGATAATACACGTAATATCCACGTGTAATTGCCAAATCAGATTCCCGTTAGTCGTACGTTAAGCTTTAAACGGATGCCCAGTTCTGACAGAGACGGTACAACCTTGGCTTATTACTGACCACTCGGAAAGGTGGGATTATTTTTGAAAGAGCGGACAAAGGTGGGATTATTGGTGATAATTTTTCCTTGTTCTTTTTGGAACTCCCTTGATTGGCACACATTGAGCGCACTCAATATGGGCCAAAATAATTTAGAGCCAAGACTATATTTTCCTCCCACCAAGTAACAGCATTGTTACAATGCCAATAGATGCAACATTCAAAACAATTTCATCCTTCAATTTAAGAGCAACATACAATGATTTCAAAAAGAATGTTTTTTCAATTCCATCATAACAATACACAAAATAAAAATCTCATCTCGCTGTTGTCAAAACTTTCACTATCTTGTTAGTATATTTTCCTCCAATCAGCCTATTAGATAAAAATTGCCCATGATTGGATGACAACTTCTCTTTCTCATAGTCAATAGTCAGCCCTCGACCAAGAAATTAGTTTAAAATATATTAAAATGTTTGTCAATTAGAAATGACATGCCACTCAAATTTTTTGAAAAAACTTCTATTTGAATTAGATAATTTCTTACTCTCAATCAAATACAAATTCTTTAGCTCTCCGTGAAGATAGCAAATTTTGAAGAAAAAAAACAAACTGCTAGTATTCGTTAACATGTTACTAAACAATTTGTTTCCAATTTACTTCCTGAATTTTTATAATATTAAGTATTTCATTTGTATCAATATCTAAACAACAAAGTTTACGGAGTAATTGACTAAAAGAAAGAACCTCGTTTGCGCAATATTCTTTCAGCCAAATAAAATTTCATCGAGCAAGAGTCCCTATAACTCCTATAAGTAATGTTATAGTGAACAAGCTCCAAGTCTTTATTGCTTCTTATGTAGAACACACGAGTTCTAATTTGAAAATAACACCAACATCACACATTTTTAAAGCGCACCTTTTTTTCAAAATAGAAAGGTTTTTACGAACGGAGAGAGAAAAATTACTCCCATCAAAAAATCATCTTCTCCCTTTTTTGGATGTCCCACAATAATCTGTTCATTCCTTGTAAGGATAGAAATATGTGGTTCACATTGTCTCCCTCTCCCCTCTAAAAAATTTAACCACAATTCCTTAATTCCGTATCATTTTCACATGAGAAGTTAATTTTGGGATGGAGGGAGTAATACTTACAGTTTTATTGCATAACATACCATGTTTGTAGACCCATGGCACTTCAGTGACAACTCTTTCCTTGTCCAAATTCCAATCTTCAACAACAATAAAACCCAATAATATCCCAACTCCATTGGGTTTAGGGTCAAGATGAATGTAGCTTACCCCTGTCAAAACACAAATTTTGTTTCTGTTAGACCCTAGAAGCATTGCACCAATTTACTACCCAGAAGGCCAGAACTTCATTGAAAATTTGAAAGTAAGAAGCAGCAAGATGATTAACGTGTCGTTCTGATATAGACCATAATTTACCTGAATTTAAAACATTATCAATAATAACTACTCTTGTAACTCCATTGGCAATGGACACCCAAATTTGAACCTTCATTTGTCTAAAATATCTGAAATTCCTTTTTCATGGATGGCACAAAAAGGTTCATCGTGAGCAAAAGGTTCGCAGCAAACATAGATCCATGCTATGGGAACACAATACAATTCGATCACGCCGTCACACGGCACCTCAATTTTGGCAGAGATGAATCATGGTAGGCAATGCTTGGCGTGAGATTCAAAGCTAACCATTGTAGGCATTGGTAGGGATAGCAGCTGTGCCTTCTTCCAGTACAGGCATGGAGTCATTATCAACTTTTTGCGTCGTTGAAGTAATTTTCAACTTCAATTCAGGTCAATGATGAGGAATCTCTCTGGTTTAAAGATTTTGTTTTATGCTAGTATAAACCAAGTATCTCACGCCCTTAACACACGAGTCTTACACCAACGGACAACTCTAAGCATTTGACTTGCAACAATATCCTTAATACTTTGCCTCCTTAATCTTGCATCTTCAATATCTAGAGTTCTATAAGCAAGTGCAAGCAAATACATTGCTGGGTGGAGTTTCCTGCACACAGATTCATAGACCATGAAGATGCCACACTGCAATCATAGACACTTGCAAAGGTTTGTGGATAAAAACTCTTTTTTGTTGATTACAGATAAAGTAGATGGTACACAACTGAAATGAATCAACCACAGCTTACTTTAAGAGACTGTCAGAAACTCGAAAACTGCCCAAGAAATAAACAGAAAATAGAGAGAAAATTTCAAACTAAAAAAAGTGATGGATAATTGTTCAAACTCTGTTATGTATCAATTTGTGCTGTGTAAAGATCAAGAATTATGGGATTCTAGATCCAGTCCAAATCACAGCAAGGCGTTCTGATCCCTTATGCCTGCCCGGGGCGCAGTGTAGGTCGGTTTCGAGCACCTCAATCTCAGCCAACTATGGAATAGACACTCCATACATATGCAAGTTTATGCAAATGAGATGAAAATTATACACACGAATCTTACTTGTCAAAATGGAAGTTTGCATCTAACCCATCCCAATGTCTCTGGGAGGGGACGGTTCGGCCTTTCTTATCCCGACCAAATGTCTCCACATACCAACCTCCAATATCGTGCATCCCACAGCGAGGCTCAAACAACCAAAATCTGTCGAAGAAAAAGGTTGCAATTTTGACTTCAATAAGTAAACTTCAAAGTGAAAGGCAGTATGTAGTAACACTTGCATAAAGTTTCAACACATTTCAAGTGCGTAAATATTTACATAAATTTATATCAACTCTAGAAATGATACACCTACTAAATCTAGATCCTGCGTTATGAAATTAATTGCAAAGTGCAAACCATTCTAACAATGAGTCGTACCCAACCCACTTTTCTTGGCCAATATTGTAATCTCCTTCTTCATGCAATTTACTAACCAGCATTAAATTCAATGGAAAAAAATGAGAATGCAAACTTTGAAGTCACCACCCTTTTAGCTTTCTGTTCTATCTACATAAGGCGATGCATTCACCAAAAAGAAGCTTGGCTAAATGAGCATAATCAACTAATGTTAATGGGCATAGTTCCAGTCACTACTTGGAAAAACACATCATATACTGTCTGAGCAGTTACGATTTAGAAGGGATATTTTGTTTTTTTACTTGCTGGGAGGCAAGCGAGCTCTACTGCATCTGCATTCACAAACAGACACTTCGTCTCCTATATGGTACCAATGCATGTGTTTCACCTGAAATAAAGTTATGTTATACTACACAGCTTCTGCAAATTAGAAAAATAGAAATCATAATTAAACTAACCAACAATGTCCTATGCTTCATAATCACGTGAGTTTGTACACCATTATGGTCATAGACATCACATGATCCTTCCTCTGGACCCGTCCCCATTCCATTTATTGTTCCTAACAGTATCCTGGGCAGCCTTTGGCGACATGTTGCATGTTCAGGGGGAATAAGATAAACATATATGACATCCTCAGTATCCTCATTTTGTGACTGATTAGTATTACGGTTTGGTCGAACCCTACTTGCCATAGCTACAAGCCTTCCACATATGTGTAATTCTAAATCCTTATAGGTATCTGATTCAAAACGACCACCATGTCTATTTTGTTGTTGACACGGTCCATTTGGAGCTACAGTCGAATCCACTTCTCCGCTGGTACTGTTAATAGAACAGAGGGGGCCATATTCAAAAGATGATATTTTTCCGGTGTTGGCAACAAGTACCATCCCAAAGAGGTCACGTCCTGAGACTAAGTGGAGGATATCTGGTGTATAAGGTACAGACCTCTCTTCAGCTTCAAAACACTCAGGAAGCAAATCAACCGAATCAATCTCAGGGCCATAAAATGCAGCGTGTATAGCTGAGCGGAAATCCCTTTCCAATTCGTCAAAATATCCTGAACCAACCACCTCTCTTTTACCTGACACTATATCCTTGATCGCAAATCTATAACATTTCAACCATTCAACAACTTCCATTTCTCTATCCATTAGCTTGTTAGATTCATACTTGTAGATAACTGAACCTTGCCTTTGCCTCACTTGCTTGTGAACAAACGTTCTTTGAGATACGATATACTGATCATAATGTGCCCTTCTCTCAGGATCAGATAATATCTGCACTCCATGATACTTGTGTCAATATTCCACACCTCCAAGATATAACATCTTACCACCACTCATTTTGATTTAAACATTGCCTAATAAGTTAAAGTTGGGATTAATAACATCATATGACCCTGATGCAGGTATATATTGCTCAAAAAATTACTCTAATACTTCTGGAGACAAGCGAATTGAAAACAGCCCAAACAGCTCATTATTCTATGTACAGCTCAAACTGACAATCTATCACAGGTTCCAGTATACCACCATATCCAATAAGGAAAATCGAATAACAAATCATCATTCAAATCCAATTAATCAAAAGACAAGAGGTACTCCTAATACTAAGTAATCTAACCTCATAAGCAGCGAGAATGTCAATGAATCGTTTGGAAGCAGATGAATCTGACCGTGTCTGAGATAGATCAGGATGCGTCTCCTTAGCCAAATTACGGAAGGAAGCTTTGATTTCTGAGAACGAACTGGTCTCTGAGACGCCTAAGAGCTCGTAAGCGTTTGGTCCTGTGAACTCCGATGGGGCCTTAGTACTTTGCTGCCGTTTTCCGTTAAAACTGGGGCGGAAGACACAAAGTAAACATGCCATGTGATCTGTACTAGCTGGAATTGAAGGAACGGGACGGAAATAACGGCTAAGACGGCGGACTGCGGTGTATCCGGTGAACGACGCCATGGCCAGTGAGACTGCTAGCGAGAAGGCTAGTCCCAAATCAAACCTGAACGGCCTATAACAGCAACAAATTTGACGGCAAGAAACAGCACTTGTTTCATTTTTTCTAGTCAAATTGGAGAAATTTGAGCTTTAATTAAATAAAAATTATAATGTATTTTAACATAAAAATTAATTTATTGGATTTATCGTATTGAGAATTTTCAAAATTGTATTTCATTATGCTAATATGCAATATAAATTGAGAGTATTTGGAGTTCAAAGTTTGTCCAGTTTGACTCGAAAAAGTCAAACTGAACAAATACACTGGGACGGAGGTAGTATATTTTACCACATTAGAGTTTGGTGCAAACGCTTAAAAAATTGATAATACTAATCATATAAACAACGTCATACACTCATACATACAAGGTGTATATTTTTTTCGAGAGTTCATCACTTAGAAACTCCAAAATTAAACGTATTTGACTTGGAGAAATTTTATGATGGGTGACATTTTCGACGTTCCTTGGACCCGCACAAGTGAAGACAATGTGCGCGGGGAAAACTTGGGTTTGTGGGGCCAGTCCATAATCCTATGAGCCTATGTTTACGGCGAGGGTGGGGCCCGGGATTTTACAAAATGGTATCAGAGCAACTTTGCGACCGTGACGGGACAACGAGCTTATTAGTTCACATTCCAGGAAAGATCTAGAGGTTTGGAAAAAGGATTCAACGAGGATGTTGCATTCCTAAGTGGGGCTGAATGTAATACTCCGATTTGAAAATAAAAGGATTTGAGAAAAAAAAAACTTAAAAGGATTGATAGTATTACTTATACCAACAAGGTGCATTTTCTTTTCGAGAACTCATCACTTGGAAACTCCAAAGTAATAGTTATGCCATGCTTCTCATTATTATGAAGTACTTATACAATTATACACGGAGTTGTATATCCTTAACAAAGGAATGTACGTCCACACTCTGCTCCTTCCTGATTTTGTATAAACTACGACCAAGTGATTGCAACTGGACTACCCACAACATGCACTCCATCAGACCACTCAATCTCCCCAAACACATTACTACCCGAAGCCGCCATTGTTGTAGCTGTAAAAGTCACCATGTATGACTGTGTCTCTCCCACCTCAGTGAAAGAAAGAGTTTGTGGTTCTACCAATATTTCAACCCCATCTGGGGAGGACACATACACTTCGTACGTCCCAGATTCTCCGACATTCGTGAGTGTCCGCGTGTAGTTGATTGAAGATTTCCCGCCCGAAAAAACAACCGCGAACGACGGGTAATTGAGATCCGTTACGCTGTAAGTTCGAGTCGGGTCGCAGGTGAAGTTTCTTCTTGCCACCGTGTTGATTTGAGAGCGAGTGTAGTTCGAGGCGCAGAGGAAATTTAAGTAATCGTCTGTTTTTATGTCGTAAACGAGCCCCGGGTCAATAGCGGGTATCGGGTTGACATGACCCGACCCGTGGTCGTACGGGGTGGATGGCTTTCCCGTCGCGATGTCTATGAGCCGGTCGCCGGACCAATAGGTCCGGTAAGCGGTGGTCATGAGCGCAGAGCGGATCGCCGCGGGGCTCCACCCCGGGTGCGCCGCTTTGAGCAGGGCGGCGATGCCGCTCGCGTGCGGGCACGACATCGATGTCCCTGATATTATGTTGAACTTGACTCGCCGCGTGTCTTGAGGCAAATCGTTCGGAGGGTTGGCCCCACTCCACCCGGCGAGAATGTGGACCCCGGGAGCGATCAAGTCGGGTTTCAGTATCTGCGGCGTGATCAAGTTGGGGCCGCGGGAGCTGAATCCGGCGACCACCGGCGACGGCTTGATGCCCACTTTTGTCCCTTTAAATGAAATCCCGGCCGTCGGGTTCAGACTCGAGAACACGTACGCCTTAACTGCCCGACCGGATTTTTCGGTCACGTGCGTGGCTGGGATCACATGGGCGTCGGCCACAAGTTCGTCTCCGTGTGCGGCGTCATTCGCCAGCACCATCCCCGCCCCGCCCGCCTCTTTTACCACAACACCCTTTTCCGCTCTACCATTCGACCCTCGGTCGCAAAGTACTATTTTGCCCTTCACCTTTTCGGGGACCAAGCTACCCTTGAGGCAAAGATTTCCATCACTAGAGTTGCTCGCATTTCCTGCATAAACAATGGGGAGCATTTTGTCTCGAAACATGGGAGATTTTTCAAACAGAGAAACCCCGGGAAACTTGTTCCCGTTGCCGAGTCTTAAAGGAGCCGGGAAATCACGGTCCAGAGTCCCAGCGCCCACAGTCGTAATCCACGGCGCCAGGTTGGTGGCAGTAAAAGGCGTAGGACCGCTGTTCCCGGCGGAGCAGGACACGAAAATCCCCTTCTCCGCGGCGGCGAATGCTCCGATTGCGATGACATCATTATAGTAATCATCGGGTCCTCCCCCGAGAGATAACGAGAGAATATTGACACCGTCGTCGATGGCCTTTTCCATCGCCGCCAGTAAATCGGTGGAAGCACAACCGATTTTCCAGCAAGCTTTGTACATCGCTATCCTCGCATTCTTTGCCATTCCCTGAGCAGTTCCCGGCGCGTAGCCAAAAAGGCTGGCACTCGGAACTTGCCCTCCTCCGGCCGTGGAGGCCGTGTGGGTCCCATGCCCATCGTCGTCCCGGGGAGATTTAAACGCCGTAGACTCATTGATTGGCCCCACTAACGCCTCAATCCCTCTCGAGAAGTACCTTGCACCGATCAGCTTCCGGTTGCAATTCGACTCGTTGAATTGGGTGCCGGCCTCACAGGCGCCTTTCCACGAGCTTGGAATCGGGCCAAGCTCGCCGGCGTCGAAGCTCTGTATCTCCGGCCAGACGCCGCTGTCGATGACTCCGATTACAATATTGCTTTCATTGGCTAACTCGGGCCATATGGATGAGTAGTAGCCGGTTAGTCCCAGAAACAAGGGCGTTCGGGTTGTGTGGAGCTGGTAGATCGTCTCCCGCCGGACGGACAGAACTCCGGGCATATTTTTAAGAAACAGGGCTTCCTCAGCCGTGAGCTGGGCGGAGAATCCGTGCGCCGCGGTGTCGTAAGCGTAGATGATTTCCCCTGATTCGGACACCGATTTGAGTGCGGAGTTGTACCAGTGCGTGTGGTGACGGAAACCGGAAGGCATTTCCGACTTCGCCATTTGAACGATAAATGTTTGCTTTTCAGTCGCCGCCGCCGCCGACGACGAAAAGTGGCACAGATGGGATAGCATACTCACGGCTAGCATCATCATCACTGTAATTCGGAGCATTTTCTTGTACTCCGTATTTAACTTTTTGTTTCCTTTTGCTCTGCTTGCATTTGCGATGGTACTTGAAAGTTGAAAGTCATTTAAAAAGGCGTGGCGTCGGCCACCTAATTAAAAAATAAAATTTTCTATAAAATCATCTATAATATTCTTCTCCGTTCTGCTTACGAGGTTTGACCGATTTTATTTTCAATTCAATTTATTTGATTGTAGGTGTAAAATTTAAAAATAAAATTTATATATTTAAAAATTACATTAAAAGTTCTACAAAACAAGTGGTGACAATATTATATTATTTTATCAAATACCTAATGAAAATAGGTAAAGAAAGTGATTAAAGTTTGACCGTGTAAAAAGTAAGTGAGAAGAACATTTTAGGACGGAAGGAATAGTTTTGTTAAGAGGGTAATTTAACTAAATAGAACTTAAACATAATGATTTTCTTAATATAGTATCATATGTTTTTATTTTCCAATGTAGGACCATTGGTCATTATCTATTAGGCATTATTCAACGAAATGTTCAACATCACTTGGACATTATTCTTCTCACTAGTCATTATTAAGTCCTATTTAGGAAATAAAAAAGTTTAAGTCCTACATTGGAAAATGACTTTATGTTTTAGTCCTATTCATGGCAAATTTTGCACTAAATAACACAAAAATTTAAGTCATTTTTCTAAATAATACTTAAATTTTTTTATTCTCTAAATAGCACTTAATAATGTACATAATATCCAGTGATGACGAACATTTAATTAGATAATGACTAACGGATAATGACTAATAGTCCTACATTAGGAAAAAACACATGTGATGCTATTTAAGAAAATATTTATATTTAGTACTATTTACGTGAATTCCGCTACATTTAATTCTATTTTTTGTTGACAGTAACAATTAAAATTAAATTTGAGCAAATACTCTAATATTGAAAGAGTAATTCAGAAAAATTGCAATGACAGAACCTCTAATTAAGATTTTGAGACTTTAAATGTATACTGTATATAAATTTGAGACTTTTAATTTTAAAAATTTAACATGTGTAGTTCTAATAACTTAACATGAAATTACCCATAAATGCGTGGGATATTCTAAATATTTATTCACTATTTTGAGTATGTTAAGTATTGAAACTTGATGTTTTTATATTTGACATATTTGACCCAAGGGCGGCTAATTTTTTTGGAGGCCTCATGAAAAACGTAAACTAGACCTGTATGATTTTTTAGGCGTCCTTATATTAGTAAATTTAATATTATGAAATTGTGATATTGTGTAATTAAAACAAATTATGTAAATAAAATTAAAATTTAATTGGCATTACAAAAATTATGTATAGTAATTGTACGTGAACGTAAAACAAATTTTGCAATATATATATATATATATATATATATATCTTTTATATAAAATATTTGAGTGTCCAACTCACAAAAGGCCACATGTGGCATGCTTATTTGGTGTTCTTTTAGCACTCTGCAGACCATCTCAATAAAAAATTTGACACATTTATATATTTCAAAAAGACTTATTTTCCTAATAACTAGGAAATTACATTTATTTTACTAGTTGAGTTTTACTGGAATTGTCAAATAATTTTATTTTCAAAAAAGAGAATTATAGATACATTTTTTGCATTAAAATTTTAAAAATTAACACGTAAAAGTAGTCACCTTTATTTTACACCCAAAATTTATTGCGCTTGATATGAATTTATTTTTATA